CACACACACAAAAAAACTTCTTACAACTTCTTCCTCCTCATCCTAGCTTTGCTTTTCTGAACCCTTTTGGATCATTTGCCCTTACGATACGAACATGTCAAAAGAAGAGATAATCAATGAACTAACTTCATCGATCACCCATCCACAGAAGGCAAACACTAAAATGGGTTGTTCGACCTTGAATTCAGTGGGGCTGACGAGCTGGAAAACTAAAGCGCCGCAAGGGACCTGCTCGTGCTCAATAGCAAACCCTCTATAACCGGCTGAGACCAGTTTTGGCAGCGATCTACTTTGTCTGAAATGGCTCAATATCCTCGTCAATCAACGTCATCATCTGATCATCCGTGGGAAGGAATGACTTGCAGTTCGTAAATCATTCATACTAATCTGTGGGTTCATGTACAAAGATGCAATTACACTAGTTTTCACTACTATTGTCTACTACATACACACTAACTCACAAATCATTCATACTAATTGTTCAATATTAAAGATAAACATTCACAAATAATATGATTAATTGAACGCGTGAGGAATTAGTTTAAAATTATAGTTAATTAGTTAAGAGTTTCGTAGGTCGTGGGGGTATGGATTTGGGTGCGGTTATCCACGGGTTGGATATGACTAAACCCAAACTCAACCCGTAAAAGTATAGCGGGTTTAAACCCGAACCTGGCCCGCAATCCGTAAAAACGGGTTTTACACGCGAGGGTTGACCGGGTTGGGTCGGGTAGAGTACCCGCGGATTTGGGTTCCATTGCCATCCATACTCTCTGTTAGTCTCTGTTAACTTTATCTGACGTGACAGTCAACTCTAAAAGGTGACCTTTAAATATATGACGTGGCAAATAAAAAATAATTAAAAAAAATAAAATGCTTTAAAAATTCCTCCTCATTATCACAATAATAAAAAAAATAAACGAAACATAAAAATTGTAATTATAATTATCAAAATGGAAAAAGAGAATTTATTCCCCATCCCACCTCATTATTCTTGTCATCCTACTCTGGCGGTCCTAAACCCTAACTCCGAATTTCAGGGTTATGGGTGAGTGCGATGGTGAAGAGTCATGGGAGTAATAATCACAACAATAATATCTCGAACACTCCTAATTTCAACAAATTCAGTCTATTATGACGAGGTAATTTTGTCATATTAGATACTCATTTTGTCATATTTGGTATAATATGACAAAAGGTGTGGTCACAAAGGTTTGTCATTTTATCGCCGTCGGGATAGGTCAAATGTGACAAAATTTTAAAACAAGGTTGTCACATTTGGTTTCAGTATAGCTGAGGTTCTGAGTAGTCTATTCTGACAAACAGAGATGTTATGACGACATATTTTTGTCATAATTTGCTTATTTTGTCATAAATTGTTCGTCATATTACACCGTTATATTTTCACATCACATAATTGTGACAAACGAATTGTCATAAATGCATGATGTGACGAATATATTTTGTCATAACTGCATGGTGTGACGAATATATTTTGTCATCACTGTATATTAGGACGTACGTATTTTGTCATAACTACATATTGTGACCAATATGATTTATTCACCAATATAGTGAATAACATATAGTTGAAAAAATTAATATTCTTATAGCATGAAACTCTAATCAAACAAATACTAGTTACATATCTAACTTTTTCTGGTGTGCTAAACAAACTAATCTGGGAATTCTGCATCCCTCGACAATGCTGACCCATTGTTGTCACTATTGCTACCGCTTATATGTTCATACAATCTGTAGAGAAAACTTACATCAAATAGAAAGGATTATTAACCCCAAAACCTATAGGTTTGCTACAGAGATACATAGAAGTACAAGGCGGAAAACCCAAAAAGACTAGGCATCACACTTCATTAACCCTTATTGAGACAGGACAATTATTAAGGTTTTCAAGTGGCTTATGGTAATCTAGTAGATTTCCAGGAAACGATAAACTACAGCAGAACCATGACCGTAAAGGAAGCGTTTTAGAAACTTCAAATATGTCATGTATCCAATTTTATATTAATAGCCCTAGCTATAGCCAATTCCAATTGTTTCAAGGATGAAAATGGAACCAGATGGACTAATCAGCCTATGAATTGCCATGGACTTTCAATTCACATCTAGCTATGTAAACAACAGAAAGAATTGACAATTTGCACCTTACTGTATTCGTCATTAATTGTATACATGACAGCCTCCTCAAATTCCCTGTATGCCTCCCATATCTTATTCCCTCGCGACGTGTAATCCATAGGCAGTTAATGCAGCTCTTGCATATAATCCGTTGCAGCTCTGTTAACTATTCTGTGGATTGAAAATAAAATAGATACTATTTGATCTAGTCGCCTTCCGTTGCAGGTCCTCTCCATCATCAATCTACACCCTAAAGCGCAGAAAATCGAAGGAAACACAAAAAAAGAAGCTTATTATACAATTAAGAGGCCATTAATATCCCCACCACCAAAACATTTTTGTTCCGCCAACAAAACCCCATAACAAACAGGAAAGAACATGGAATCGATTAACCTGGAGAATCGCCTCACCCGGGCTGGCATTTTTGGAGTTATCAGTGTTGACTATATCAACTAAAAATCTTGGCAGGAGCAAGCATCTCAAAAGCAGTAGGGCGGACTAGGCGCTAGAGGAGAGGCGACGGAGGCGGGAGGAAACGGTGCAAGGGATTGGAGCGAGGGAAGAAGAATCAAGTTTGAGCCCTCAGTGAGTTGGGAGCAGTGAAGTAGCGGAGAAGTAGAGATGGGATTGGCGGTGATCTGAAAAATGAGAAATTATAGAGGGTTGGGTCAATAAGTAACTAGAGAAAGAGAGATAAATTATGACACCGTTATCAATTTTGGGGGTCGTTTGGGCTACCTTAATTAATAAAATGCAGATTCCAAAAATAAAGTTTTGAATAAATCTAAATTTTTAATCTTAAATTGTGTTATTGAATATGTGGGATATATAATTATCAATTTCAAAATTAGTAGCAATATGTAGATGTACCATGAAGCCTTTATTTATCTGAAAAAATTTATATCAACGATTTTATGATCGGCTTTTTAATGGTTAATAACCGGTTATCCAACTTTAAACCTTTTGCTAATCCGAATTGCAGACCGGCCTAGTTTTTAAAACACTGCTTTTTAGCCTTTTGTTTTATTTGGAATGGAGAGTGTGAGTTTGGCACTTTGGCTAGGGCGGTAATACTTAGCCAAAAATTTTGGAATTGTGGAGCCAAATATTTGATGAGCCAAAATTTAGAATTGGGGGGGGGGGGGTGTGGGGGAATTTGCGGGAGAGCCAAATTCCTTTATGCATGAATTTTGTAGGAATAATATGAGAAAAACTATTATGACGATATAATTTGTCACTTTTGTGTCTCTTATATCCCAATATGAGATGCCTATTTTGACAAATGTAATTGTGACACGAAATATTTGTCACATTATTCACTTTAAATGACGAACTATTCTGACAACAAGAAATTTGTCACTGTTGAGTCTCTTACATCCCGATATGAGATGCCTATTTTGACAAAATTAATTGTGGCACGATATATTTGTCACATTACTCACTTTAACTGACGACTTATTCTGACAACAATTTTTTTGTCACATTAGGCATACCAAATAGGACATATATTATTTTTTTCATATCACCATACCTATTGTGGCAAACAAAAAATGACAAATAAAATTTTTGTCCTAATAGGCCGAATTTGTTGTAGTGTTTGTTCCTGGGTCGGGTCGAGAGTGATTGACTGGAGAAACGGGAGGTTGGCAGTGCTAATTCTGTTTGGAGGATCTCGCCGGAGAAAAATAGATTTGGGAGTCACTACCGCGTTGTCCTACCGCCGAATTTTCACCAAAAGGAATTCCATCAACGGCGCCAGAGGGGATTCACTTTTCCGATTTTGAGTCAGTCTCCTACAACGGCGTCCCCGCAAGTTAAGATGGTGTTGCCGCCGAGAAAAAATGAGGTTTGCCCCCCTCTTTCTACTCAGATCCGTCCACAAATATGAGGGGAAGTGGTGATGATGACTTTCAAAATATCTTCCAGCGAGATGATGACAGGAGATGTTGGTCGGATGATAGGAGGGAGGGTGAAGAATGCGCCGGTGATCGGGTTGAGGAGGTAAGGCTTCACCGGGGTACGAGGACCCACCCATCTTTTGAAAGCAACACATGGGTTATTTCTCGGGCGACTTCTCGTATTGAGACCAAGCGATATCTTGACTTGGCGTGGGAGTCCTCGTCGTGATCTAGAATATGGACGGGGAGGAGGAGCGGGGGCGGGAAGAAATCGGTGAGTGGATTAAATCGATGAGAATCGGGGGGTGAAGCTTTGGGAGTTGTTGAGCTGTAGTTGTTGGAGAACGATGACGAGCCAGATAAATTATAATTATATTTTTTTATTTTTTTAATTTATTGTGATAATGCGGTGGAATTTTTAAAATATTAAATTTTATTTTTTAAATTGCGACGTCACTTATTTAACGGTCAACTTTCAGAGTTGACTGCCTCATCAGATAAAGTTAACGGAGTCTAACGGAGAGTGACCAAACTTGAACCGTTGAACTAATCTTAGTGACCAGGAATGGAACACCAAACTTGAATTGTTGAACTAATCTTAGTGACCAGAAATGAAATAAAGTAATTTTAGTGGCAAACGTGAAATTTTATAGTAATTCCAGTGAACAAACTTACAATATATCCTCAATGTACGGTTAGAGAAGAGGAGCCTCAATAATTTGTCTCATAATCTTCTTTTTCCCTCTTTATTTGCAGATGGAACTATATTGTAGTTCAATCTTTCTCGCATTATATTCAATCAATGTGTAGACACTTATTTATTTTCGACTAACGGTAATATATTTGTATTATCGGTTTGTTGCCCTTACAACAAAATTCAAAAAATCATACAACCATGGTGAAAAGTACCAATGTAGTTTAAAATTCCAATCTCTTTTCTTCAATACACCGTTAGCAGAATACTTACTACAGTAACATTCATTTATCATCACTAACATTTGGATCGAGCCCTATTACATGATTTACATCACCATGGAGCATTTGCCAAATCTTTGAAAGGATCTTCGATATCCATCAATCCATCAAGTCCAATCACAGTGTTCAGTTCCCCCACTCTTCCTTTGGCTTCTCCAAGTTGTGCCTCCAAATTCCTTACCTCAGCCTCTGCAGCAGCTCTCTGGGTTCTCAGTTCCCTGTACCTATTTGCCTCGTCATAAATTTCCTCCAGTTTCCTCAAGCGAACGAGGAGGAAGTCAACTTTCATCCCCAGTTTCTCGAAAGCTTCCAATTTGGTCCTCCAAGTCTCAAAATCTCCTTCTCCACTTACATCACCCCTGAACCCTCTGATGGCATCCGCAATGTTGACAGTCTCGGCAATTGCACCAGCAATCAGCTTACAGGTAAGGTCCTTCATCACACCTCGATGCAGAAACGAGTTCCGACTCCGGCACAGCTCGTAGTACCTGGATCGAACCCATCCGGGCAGTTCCCCATCTATGACTAGACCGTTTGCCACAATGCTGAAATCTTCAATGCTTTCAACTAGCTTGAAATCATAGCAAACCCCATTTCTTATCTCAGCATCATGATACTTCTCCATGATCAACCTGGTAGTGTCGCTGTTTTCTTCTTCTTCTTCAAGGTCGATTACTTCTGATACGGGGTTAAAAGTGTATGGTTTCACAAAACCAAGACCAACACAGATCGCTTGATTTGAGTCCTTCTTCCTCACAATGCAGACCTGTTAAGAGAGCATATCGACATCGATTAAGATTTCCTGATATGCCACCATGATAATGAATCCTTATCGTTCAAGGAAATTGCAATTTTACCTTGAACCTGGCTGGAGAAACCAGTTGGAAAACAAGAACATCTCCAGGGACCAATTTCTGATCAACTGAGAACTTTTTCCATCCTCCACCGAGTTGATGGAGGCGCGCTGCATAGCTTACACGGTAGACTTGTCCGCTCTCGGCTTCCAAGTTAAAAGCCTGGTCGGAGATTGGCATATGCTTGTCGCAAAACTCCTTGGGGAGATTCTGTCACCGGACGGCCACACGAATCAATTAATTGCTATCTTACAAATGAATGTGGTTGTAGAAATTGGAATTCAGATTTTTGGGTCATTACCAGCTTAAAAGGGGTTTTGACCTGGCAGGGATACAGGTGCTTGATGAAGGTAGGATGGTCCTTTGGAAGGTTGTATTCAACTGCTTTGGCCTTTTGCATGATGTGATTCATAACCTCTGTATTGCCATGGTACAAACTCCTCACTGAAGATTTTCTTCTCATCCTTCTGTGGCTGTAAAATCCCCAAGCAAGCATTTATCGAAATTTGAATAACAAGAAGTTGAGGAGATTAAGGTTGACTGACCTTCGAGGCCTGGTTGGAATTCTTCTGCCTCCATCCTGCAATTGCATGCTCTGCTGGCTCTGCATTGCCCCTTCTCTTCTTCCCCTGCTGAACCCAAAACTATCAACAGAGGAAAACAGAGCATCGACACTGCCTATGGAGAGACAGAGCACAAGGGAAAACAGAGAGAGAGAGAGAGAGTTCAATAAACAAACTCACTACTGTTTTGGCGGACTTGTGTTGAGCTATCTGATCAGTGAAAAGGGGAACAAAAATATTGCAGTAGCGTTTGGAAAGCCCTCTCTGAGAGCCAGTCTCTAGCCATTATATACCGGCTGGGTGATCGAAGGAAGGACTTTTCGCGCCGTTTTTTTTTTTTTTTTCTAAATCTTTTTACCGTTTTTGTAAAAGGAAGTGGGCAGTCATGGAAGAAGTGGGCGAGTGGACTGAGCGACGTGTGAGTGATGGGAGAAGATGCGCAGGAAAAAAAAAACAAAGCAGCAACAGAAAAAAAAGGAGGCAGGTTCAGAAAACTAACCGTCCTGTCCATGACTCGAAATAGACCAAAACGCAGTGTTTCACTCATGATCATGAACATTACTGCAAGTCTGCAATGAATACAAATTGAATCTCTCAAGGTCGCTGTCCTGCCACTCATACAGCTAGACTCTATTCATGGTGGCAAACGATCCATAAAGTTACAAGCTTTTAATCAGATTAATGATATACAACACCATACATAGAAATACAAGCCTACAAAGCCTACACCTACAGCATAAAACATTACAAACATTACAGTACACTACTGCCTCAAACGGCAGCATTACATTAAAGAACTCTTTTCACCATGGAGCATTCACGACTTCCTGGAACACAACTTCATGCCTCTCTGCAGTCACTTTCAGAGTCTCGATCTCTTCATCGATCCTCTTCCTCGCTTCTCGCAACTCCTTAAGCTTCACTTCCAGGCTCTCCATCTCCTCGCTCACTCGTTCCTGCCTCAGCTTCACTTCCCGCCTCTCAGACTCCACAGCCTTTTCCGACTCCAATGCGAGCTTCATCAGCTTCTCTAGCCTCTCGCACAGGAACCTGACGTTCATCCCCAGCAGCTGAAACCCTTTCAGGTTCTTCTCCCATACAGCATACTCCCTGCGAGAGCTCGATAGTGTGGACGCCCTGATGGACTCAGCTATGTCGACTGTTCCTATTATGATCTCGGCAGCCAGCTTGCAGTTGATACTGTCGAGGAGATTCCTATGCAGAAATGTTCTCTGGGAGCAGCATAATTCGTAATATTTTTGTCGGTGGTTGTCCGAGAGCTCCGAATCGATCTCAGTGCCATTGAACACCACACTGAACTCTTTTATGCCGCCAGAGAAGTCGATTATGTCAACAGGCGCAGTGGGTTCTGAAGAACATGTGACGATTTCCATGTTTCCGGAGCTGTTTTCGGAGTGGTCTTGAAAATTGGCATTGGTTGTTGAATTGATTGCTACAAGACGCTTTTCTTGTTCATTATTGTCGTTATTTTCCTGCCTCAACAGGGAGCTTTTATTACTGTCTTGGGTTCCCGGCAGCTTAGCTGGTTCTCTTGCTGTCAGGAAAAGAGTGAAGATATTATGAGACTAATGTTTATGGACTGGACAGGTAATAAGATTTGACGGAGGAGGTTAAGCACCAGAAATAATCCGCTTTTCACTGGACTCTGTATGTTGGATGTGAAGATCATCGTCGGACTTGGGAGAAGAAACATTTCCTCTCACTACATACACCTGCAAAGGAATAGTGTTTCGGTAACGTTGTTATGATGAAATGAAATAGATATTGGGAGGGATGCTGAGGTCTCTTTAGGGGACTTTAAGATAGGATAGAAGATTCATCGACAGCTAAAGAAAAATGAATCCCTGATCATCATAGATAATACGATACTAGCACATGCCTTGATATCATCTTTCATGCTAAGCTTCCATTTTCCATGATTTCCCAAAATAGTTACATTTGCAAAATCCATTGCTTCAAGTTCTACACACTAGAGCTGAGTCTAGAGGTTCAGTTGTAAACTACTAACCAAAATATCTACAAACACATCTCCTCCTTTCATGTTACTAGTGAACTTATTTTCCAGAAACAAAAATGAAACGAGTGCAAAATACAAGGAAATCATCTTTCCACAATGGAAGAAAACACTACCTTAAATCTTAGGGGTTTGACCAAATGGAAGATGAGAACATCGCCCTCGATCAGCTCGTGTGCAGCACAGAAGGCCTTCCATCCACCACTCAAAGCTGTCCTGTCCGCAATGTAATTGATTACATATTCTGCTCCAATTTCATTCTCGACAAGAACAGTTGTATCGGACTTGGGGAGGTAAGATTTGCAAAACCTCATTGGGAGATGCTGCATCAGATAGAAATCAGTTGAAAATTCAAGGTCAGTATACATGGCTTTACAGCTCTTGAAAATGGGATGACATTCTTACAAAAATACCATCCAGAATCCAACGGTGACATTGGAACGGACTAATGTCTTAGCAAAGCTAGGGTTATCAGCAGGTAGATTTGCTCGAAACTGTTCTGCACGCTCGAGAGCAGAAGATGACTTGACCTCACCACCATCATAGAAGTCATGCACAGCAGCTCTCTTTTGTCTGTACACAAGCAATAGTATTAAACAACAATCCTGCTCTGTGAGCGCTGAGCAGTCATCAACTAAAGTAAGGAAACACCAAAAGGCTACATCTCTGACCGTTTAGAGTCGGGTGAATTATCATATAAAACCTGCACAAAGGTGAAGAATATCCAAGTAAGTAGCTTCATACATGCTGCCTCAGCAGATTCAATCACAAACTACAGAAGTCCCAATCCTTTCAATTAAAAAAAAAAACTGACTTAATAACGTATGGTAACACGTTATAGCCAGAAATAGATAAGGAGTCAGAACTTCTGAAATACTAGGGAAGCTCAAAACTTTGAACCCGACAGAGGAGAAGCAAACAAATGTTACACATGTGCCACCACTAAATCAAAAAAGACTACTATTTTCGAAGAATTCACAGGACAGAAGCTGCGCAATACTGCAACTTTCATTAGCTCAACCCAAAGGACAGCTCAAAATGATGCATCGAATCTGAATAGCTCGAGGAAGCTAATCTATGAAGCTGCAGCTCGTAACTGCAATTATAACTCAGCTACCCAGATTTCTCGGAGGCCTCAGCTTGAGTACCCAAATCCGAGAAATATGAGATAACCCCCGGATTTCCCGCGAAAAGTTAGATAGCAAGAATGCTTCATCCAGCACTAATTACAAACGGATAACGAAAGCCCTCAAATTGAAATTGCGAACAAAAAGGAAAAAGCTGAAGCAAGCTGAGCACAGAGTAGAAAACGAAGAAGCTTCCCGCCGTAAACATAAAAGTCGAAGTCCCCACTCAAGAGATTCACAGAGAGAAAGAGAGCTAGCAAACCGAAATAGGGTTTAGAAAAAGAATCTTACGAGTTGAGAGTTGGAGTCAGGTTGGTCAGGTGATTGGCGGTGGTGGATCTGGCTAGGCTTCATCCTGGAGCCACGAGACTTCCTTCTATTAACCTGAACGGAAGACAACCCAAACAGATTTTCTCAGAGATCAAACACCTTCCTGGGGAAACATGCAAAAGAGGGGGAAAAGGAAAGTACCTTGAAGTGGGGATACATGGAGATGTGCTGGTTGAGGGGAAGTTGATCGGAAGGAGTAGGAGAGATGGGTTCGTCCGCAGCATCCATGGAAACAAACACAGTGGGGGCAAAGCTTCGTTCTTTCTCTGTTTTGTGTTTCTGGGTTTGTTTTCCTGAAGCTAATAAGTAGCTTAGGAGCAGCAGCTAGTAGTGATGCTGTTGTCTCTTGCAGAAGAAGAGAGGAAAGGAGAATAATGGCAGGGGAGGGTTAGATTTTTATTGCAAGCTGGGTCTGGTCTGGTCATTGATAAGTGTAAAACTTTGACAGTTTGACACCTACTAAAGGGAAAGGTGAAAAGGAATGGAAGTGGAATGAGCCAGGAAAACGGAAACGGAAAAGAAATGAGAAAGTGAAAAAGAAAATAGCGTTGGCTTTTTTCTCGTAAGGAGGGGATGGGGCCCACCTACACTCTCTTTCAGCCTCAGGTCTGGTCAGACCTGCTTCAGGGTACGTCCCTGCCCAGCTAGCTAGATCACTGTGGTCCTTTTTACTATGGTAGAGAACCTACAAATCTAAGGATTAGACCAACTCCACTGCAAGCCCCAAATTTGGGGATTTTTCCTTTTTTTGCTCCAATGTTACATCCTTCATATTTGGAGATCTTCATTTTTTAAGTTTTTCATTTACTTAAAAATGTACTTATCGAAGTCTTAATATAATTTGTTTATGTTAATTTTTTAATTTTGAGACCAAATTTTTGTTGACAAAAAATAATTGACCTAATTTGGGTTTACACACAACACTTGAAAATTATTGATCTAATTAAACCCCTAACTAATCCCCTAATTAAACCCCAATTAACCCTTAAAATCTTAAAAAGAAAAAAAAACGTCACGTGGCGGGCTTTGGGGAGTCTCTATATTTGGGGGAACTCTCATTTCCACCCCCAAATTTGGGGATCATTTTGGAAATCTCCCCCAAATATAGAGACTCCTCCATTTATAGAGGCTCCATTGGAGCCAACTTTCCCCAAATATAGAGGCTCCACCATATATTGTAGAGAAGATTTGAGAGCAATTTTGGGAATTAGGGTTCAAGCAGAACACCCGATTTTAGAGAGGAGATCGAGAGTCAAAGGAAGGGAAGATGAATCTCAATCTAATACTCAGATGAAGTGGGCCGAAAAGAACGGGCCCGAGCAAACACTAAAAAACAATCTGCTTTGATTGAGTTTAAGAAAATGGGCTTCAAGCCCAGCTTTTCTTCTCCTCAAACACGAGTCTCCAGACTCTGCTGCACTTCAACCGAAACAGAGCAAGGAACAGAGTTCCTCAAGGTAAGCACATGAAATTGCAGAAGGTAAAGAGCAAAGAAGCTTAATGAACACAGGACATTTTTAACGTGGTTCGCCCTTGTGCAATGGTCTACTTCCACGTCCCAGAATATGGTCTGGGAGGCCTTTTATTAACTATGAAATTTACGAACAAAAATAACTACAAAGCAAGAATCAAAATAAGAAGAAGAAATTGAAAAACCAGATCAGCCTCCAATCTGTTTCTGCCTTGGCAAAAGTTGAACATGTGCCTCAACCTTTTGCCAATCCCTTTTGCAATCCCAGAGCTCAGCCCTTTACCACAGAAGCTCTTACAAAAGTAATTCGAACAGCAGCAGTTACTCAGGCATATATAGTCTCTCCAACAGACTAGCCGTTGGAGTCAGAGAAGGTAAGTTGCTAATGACAGGCTGCAGTTTCCTTTTGAAGTTCCTGTGATTGAGCTGCAAGAAAGCAACAATAAAAGTAGACAATCTCCAACTTGATTTGTCCTGCTTAGTTCAACAATCTCCCCCTAAGTTGGAGGATTGTCGATTGCCTTAATCCTGCATACATAACAAGCAGCTTTCCACAAAGTACTGAACAATAGCTGAGAAATGATCCAAACAAGGATACTTTATTGACTGAAAGAAGTTCGACATAACTCAGCAATTATTCAAACCAACACATAAGACCAATCATTCACATAAGACTTCAAAAGAAACACCATCTCAGACCGAGAACAGAAGACACGAACACAAGACTTCCCTGAACAGATAGCCAAACTAGAATCTTAAGAGGATCAAGGATCAGAACTATCACTAGATGATGTTACATCAGGCTGAAATGCAACAGGAGAGTCTGATTCAGAATTAGACACATAGAGAGCTTGTAGAGCATATGCAAAAGACGATAGAGAACCAAGAGTCTTATTTCCTGAGTCAGCATCAACCTCATCGTCCTCTGAATCACTGCTGAGCCTATGTATGAAGGGTCTCTCCCCCTCAATCGCAATCCCAATTTCGTCTAGAACATCATTCGCATGAAGTCAAAGGGAAGGAGATTCAGTGCGATAAGCTGAGAGATCCAGAGGCAGGGCGAGCAGCAAACGAGTAATCAACGCCCCAAAAGGGAGAGGTGCATGGAAGTTATGATCAATGAAAGGAAGAATGGCTCCAAACAGTAGATGAGAGAAGTCCAAAGGTACAGCAGCCACAGCATGAGCTAGAATCCACAGGTCAAGGGGAAGAACACGATCAAGAAATATGGGACGAGGTAGGAACACTCTGGTCAGAATGTAGTGAAAAGCTTGTAGTGCAGGGCTTAACAGACCAGAGGAGAAGGTACCATCTTGATCTGGTTCATGACCAGTAAGGTGAACAGGTGAACAGCCTCAGTAGTAATATCAAAGTTGAATAAAGAAAGCTCATCAGGATGAGCTAGGGCTTCCCCAAAAGCAGGAATATTGAGGAGACGGCTAATGGAAGAGAGTGGTAGGGTCATCATATGGCCATGAACAAGAGAGCTGATAGTCCGAGTTTGGAGACCAAAGTACCTCAGATTTGAGAAGAAGACCCTGACAACCTCAGGACAGATGAGGTGAAATCTGGCATTAGGAGAAATTCCCAGCCCAGATTATAGACAAAAGGCATCACATCTAGACCTAGAGGCACAAACTCAGGGAGGTGAACAATGGTCGAGGGATCTATGGGGCGATTTGCAAAGGACTGAGTGTGTCGATGATAGTTTGCAACAACAGGCTCATGGAAATGTGCCCCAGAGTAGGTCAAGGCAAAAGCATAAACCATGACTGACACAGAAGGAGGATACGACTCACAGGACACACAAAGATAAACTACAGAGACTAAACAATATAAACACTCGAACCAAACCAAAAAAGGAAAAACACTCAATCAACCAGAACAAGAGAGGGAAAGTAAAGAGACCAAAGTTAAAATCAAACAACTGAGGAATAATCAAAATACAACAGACAAGGAAATCCAGCAAGAGCTAAACTTCATTTGCAGTGGTAATGGAGGAAAGAGATCGCAGCCCGATCTCACAGCAAAGGAAGTTAAATCGATCAGTGGATAAAGGTTTGGTAAAGAGATCTGCCAGCTGAAATTCAGTATTAATGTATTGGAGATTTATGATTCCTGTGCTGACAAGATCACGTATAAAATGGTATTTAATTTCAATATGTTTAGTACGTGAGTGTTGCACAGGATTTTTAGACATGCAGATAGCACTTGTGTTGTCACACAGTAAGGGAATACTAGTTATAGTGATACCATAGTCCTGTAATTGGCTTTTTAACCATAGAAGTTGAGTACAAGTGCTTCCAGCAGCAATGTACTCTGCTTCAGCCGTGGAAAGGGCAACTGCCCCTTGTTTTTTACAAGACCAGGAAACTAGAGATGTTCCCACAAACTGACAACTACCAGAGGTACTTCTTCTATCAGTCAGACTCCCAGCAAAGTCCGAGTCACTGTACCCAACAAGATCAAACAGATCATGTTTAGGATACCATAGTCCAATGTCCATGGTACCTTTCAGGTATCTAAATATGCGTTTGACTGCAGACATGTGACTCTCTTTCGGAGCTGATTGGAAACGAGCACATAAACATACACTGTGTTGAATATCAGGGCGACTAGCAGTGAGATAAAGCAAGGAACCAATCATTCCTCTGTATTTAGATTCATCAACTGGTGTGCCAGTTTCATCTTTGTCAAGCTTCAAATTCACAGCCATAGGAGTAGGACTGGAATTGAGACTCATCATATCAAATTTACTTAGCATGGAAGCTATGTATTTAGTCTGACTTATGAAAGTACCAGATTTTGTTTGTTTGATTTGGAGTCTGAGGAAAAATTGAAGTTCCCCCATCATACTCATCTCAAAATCCTCTTTCATGGAGTTGCAGAACTCAGAACACATATCTTTACAGGTAGCACCAAACACAATATCATCCACATAAATCTGAACAATAAGCATATCATCAGAGTTGTGTTTAATAAAAAGAGTTTTATCAACAGACCCTTGAACAAAACCATGTTGAAGGAGAAACAGAGTAAGCCTGTCATACCAAGCCCTTGGGGCTTGTTTCAAACCATACAAGGCTTTTCTGAGTTTGTAAACATGGTTAGGGTGTTGATGATCTTCAAAACCAGGAGGTTGTGAAACATAAACCTCCTCCTAGATATCACCATTTAGAAAAGCACTCTTCACGTCCATTTGATAGAGAGGAAAACCCATATAGCACGCATAGGCACATAATAAACGAATAGATTCTATCCTAGCAACAGGGGCAAAGGTTTCATCATAGTCAACCCCTTCCTCTTGTGAATATCCTTGAGCAACTAATCTAGCTTTGTTACGAATTATGATCCCTGTTTCATCAGATTTATTCCTAAAAACCCATTTAGTTCCAATTACTGATTGATTTAAGGGTCTAGGGACGAGATCCCAAACATGAAGAGACTTGAATTGAGTTAATTCATCAATCATAGCGAAAAACCATTCATCATCCTTAATTGCTTCTTTATAATTCTTAGGTTCAAGCTGAGAAACATAAGCATACTGCCCAGGAACATACTTACCTCTAGTTCGAAGTCCATCATTTATGTTACCAATGATTTGCTCAGCTGGATGCCGTTTTTGAATGTGAGGTGGTGCTGTTGCGGTGGCAGCAGAAGGTACTTTTTCGGTTTCAGCAATAGTATGACTGCTACTGGCATCAGCTTTTGAGACTTCTTCCAAGGTGATTTCACCAGTCTTTTCATAACTTGTATGCATCATTTCCAGAAGATCATATGCCTGTAATTCTTGTTCAGATTCTTTATCAACAGGGTTAGAATCATTAAAAACAACATGAACATATTCTTCTACTTTCTGAGTACGTTTGTTATAGATACGATAGGCTTGGCCTTTTATGGAATATCCCAAAAAGATAGCCTTATCAGATTTAGCATCAAATT